TGCCAGGTCCCAGGGCGCGCCCGGGCCCCCGACGGCTAGTCCCGACCAGCCCCAGCCTCCACCCCCGGGCCCCAGCCACGGCCGCCTGGCCTGGCCCCACCTAGTCACTATGGGGCTGTGTGTTGCCAGGCCCGGCCCGACCTAGCCTGGCAGGTCCCCGCCTGCGGAGGGCAATGCCTCCAGGCGTCCCTGGCGCCTGGGCGGGCTGGCGAGGCTGACCCCTCCCTTGGGCGGGGTACCCATCCTTTCTGCCCGGAGATCTGGGGCCCCTCCCCACAAGCACCCCCAGGGTCTGGGGTGCCCTCTCCCACACTCATGTGGGTAAGGACTCCTACTCCTGTTTAAGTCATGGGGTTTGGTCAACTATCCAGAATTCCTTGTGGGGTCCCTCTCTCCCCAGGGTACCTCCTTCATCTGAAAGGACCCGAAAACCCAAGGGAAGAATCTTGGTGAACCCAGAGATCCTTCCCCAGTAAGGACAAGGTGAAGGTTTAGATGGTGAAGCTTCTAGTCACACTTAAGGTGGGTCTTCAAAACAGTTAAGACGTGAGACCCTGAGTCTCTCTGGGAGAGGCCTCTATCTTCTTGGATGATGGCAATTTCTTTAGAGTAGAGAGTTGCTGAGGGATGGGGCTAGCCAGCCTTTGTGGGGCAGGTACAGAGCTCACCAAGGGTGGAGGAGAGAAGGAAAATGAAAGAGGTTAAAGAGAAACAGCTATGTGGGGGCAAGGGGAAGTCCAACAGAGCAGTGGCTGTGGAGAGGAAGGTCCCCTAGAAGCTGGGGGCATCCCTGTCTTTGGTCTTTGGAGGTACTTGTGACCCCTGGGTGCCCCCACCCTCCTTCCCTAGCTTGAACTGCTCCCCTCCCCCGCCCCAGGCTCAAGGGAGATTCCAGTGGCCGCTGAGTCTGGCAGGCATGCTGCCAAGGCCTGTGTCTCCCGCCCATGCTAATAACTGCAGCTGACATCTGGCCGGGGCGCTGTGGGGGCGGCGCAGTGGGCAGGGTTAGGGGGCTGGGCAGGTCTGGCCAGAGGGTATATCTCAGGAAGCCAACCTGCAGGTCCCAGGGGCCAGGAGGCCACAGTGAGTCATCCCTGGCCAGTGCTGAGGCCGGCCAGGCTAGGGGAGTATTGGAGAGCCATGATACTAGCCCAGATGGGGTCGAGATGAAAGGAAAGGCACAGCGAAGAAAAATGGGTGAATGGGGGTGAGGGTCAGGGTAGGGAGAGATGGTCAGAGAGACAAACTGGGGGCAGGGTTAGCGTCATGCAGACAGACAGCAATGACACTTAAAATAGGCAGACAGAGAAATAATAATTATCATTTTAATAGCTAACACTTATATGGCTCTTACCATGGGCCAGACACTCTTCTAAGTGGTTTAAGTAGAGTAACTAATTGTCTGCTTCCAGCCACCCAGCAAAATGCATGCTATGTATCCCCATTTAACAGATGAGAAGACTGAGGTACGGGAAGGAAAAGAACTTGCCTGCTGTCCCACAGCTATAAGTGCTGGCGACGAGATATAACCTGAGCTGTCTGGCTCCAGAGCATTAGCTACTCTACTGTGGATAATCAGACCAACTGTATGCCAAGCTTTTCAGGCCCTTTCACTTAGGGTCTTCTTTAACCTGGAGAGAAATGGAGTTGGGCACGGGGTGGAGGGATGCTGGTGGGCGGGGAGACAGGCCAGCATGTGGAGTGGGGTTGAGCGGCTCCATGCACTCTGCAAGGGTGTTTGAGCAGGGGGTGGGGAATGGGCCAGCCAGGGAGGGCGGGGGCCCAGCCCAGCTGGTACAGCCGGTTCCAGGCCCCTGCCAGTCTCACCCTTGTGGCCTGGGCACCACCCCCTCAAGCCGCCCCACTGGCGCCAAGGCCCCCAGGAGGAGGAGAGCCCCCTCCCCCTCCTGGCCTGGGTGCCCAGATGCAGCAGGGGACTGCCCAGCCCTTGGGCTCCAGACCAGCATCTGGAGGAGGACTCTGTGCCCAAGTTTTCCCCACACCCAGGGGCCCAGGGCCTGGGGTGGGGACAGGATAAGGGGGAAGTTCACGTACCCCCACCCACGAGTCTCTCTGGGGCTTTCGGCTTTGAGATGAGGGACTTCTCCTTCTTATAAATAGTCTGGTGACCCCCTCCTCCCTTGACCCCACTGACCAGTGGGGCCCTCACCAGGAAACTGGGCTGGGGGCTGCAAGTGAGTCAGCCCTGGGCAAACCAGGGCGAGAACCCACAAGTCACAGCACCCAACCTCCCGAGTCCCTGCCCCTGGGTGTGGACAGGCAGCCGTGCAGGAAGAGGCTGAGAATCACGAAGTCCTCCCTCAGGAACCCCTGCCCTGCCAGCTACCTCCCTCCCCCACCTCTGTGGTTTGGGGGTCCCTCACCCCCTCTGCTGGAGAGGAAGCTACTGGGTTTTCTTGGAAGCAGGAAGGAGAGGCTGTCTCCTCAGGCTGACTCAGCTGGGCACAAGGGGAGTTTCCCATAAAACTAAGTCTGTCTCCCCCCACACACACTCCTGGTGAGGTCTTGAGGGGCCTGGGCCTTGCTGAGATTCTGGGTGCCCCCTTTACAGGGGATGTGCTAAGAAAAAAGGCCTACAGCCCACCAGGGACTGAGGCAGCTGAGCCAGGCCTCCCAGGAAGTGACAAATAGCAGGGAGGGAGGGAAGTTGGGGGTAATGTTTGGAGAGAGGAAGTTCAGGGATATCTGTGGGGGAGGAGGGACAGAGACAGACTGGGAAGCCCAGAGCTCCAGAGTACCTCAGATGGTCCAAGAGCATGTGTGCCTGGCTGGTTGGCTGTGGGGCTGTGGGGCTGCATATGACTGGCTTGTCAGGGTGCGTGAGAGTGTGTGTGAGGCCTGTCTCCCCAGTGCATGTGTCTGTGTGTTGGCCCAACCCTGCAGGGCTGTGTAGGGCCTGTCTGCTTTGAGGGTGGGGAGGATGGTGGGTATGTGGGTATGGTCTACAGCAGCGGTCGCCAACCTTTCGGACCTCATGGACCTCCAGGGGACCACTGGTTGGCAACCGCTGGTCTGTGGTATCAATTGTATGTGGCTGGCCTATATGCATGTGCTGTTTGGAGTTCATATGGCTAATTTATTCCTGTCTGGTGTTAATGTGTGTTTGTGTGTGTGAGGTCCATGGTTTACCTGTGTGAGGTCTGGTGTGTGTGTGTGTGTGTGTGTGAATTCTGTGGCTGGTCTGTGTGTGTTTCTATGTGAACTCTGTGGCTGGTGTGTGTGCATGCGTGCTAGCCAACAGGTTCTGTCAGGGTGTTTCTGTGCCAACATGTTTATGAATGTCTGGCTGTGGCCTGTCT